CAAACAACAATTCAGTCAATGAAAAAGAGCTGAGAGAGAAATGAAACAGAAAATCAAGACAAACAGAAAGCACAAAGTAGGGTAGCAGAGAAAAGTCCAATCATATTAACAATGAAATAATAATAGAGGGGGCCAGCCCTGTGGCCGAGCTGTGAAGTTCCCACACTCCACTTCGGCAGCCCAGGGTTTCGAGGTTCGGATCCTGGGCCCCGACATGGCACCACTCATTAGGCCACATTGAGGCGGTGTCCCACATACCACAACTAGAAGGACCCACAACTAAGAAAAAATATACAACTATGTACTGGGGGGATTTGGGGAGAAAAAGCAGCAAAAAAAGAAGATTGGCAACAATTGTTAGCTCAGGTGCCAATCTTTAGAAAACAAAAAAAGAAATAATAATAGAAAAACTAGACTTTAAAGCAGAAAGGTAGTCACTACAAAATAAACAGTTCAACTCATTAAGATGATGTAACCATTCTGTATTTGTTTGCATGTCATAAAATTGCCCAAAATACATAAAACAATTGATAAAATTTCTCGAACCAGGATGATAGTGAGGAATTTCAACACTGCTTCCTCATTTATTTCATAGGACACACAGAAAAAAATTAGTAAATATGCAGAATAATTGAACAAAATGTTAACAAAGTTAATTTTCAAAACATACATAGAATTGTGTCACAAAATTAGAGAAAACACATTCTTTTCAAGTACATGTGGTACATTTACAAAAATTGACCACTTATTTGGACAATAAACTGAGTCTCAATAAATATTAAAGATTCAGTGTAATATAAACTACATTTTCTGATGAAAATCAAATTAATTTGGAAAAGAGTAACAAAAAGATAATTTTCTAAAAATCTTTATTCATTGAGGAATTTACAAAATGATTCTAAATAATTCATGGATTACAGAAGAAATCATAGTGGAAACTAAACCATAAATACTTAGAACTGAATGATAATGAAAATGCTACAAATCAAAATATGAGACTTGCAGTGAAAGCAGAACTTAGAGGACAATTTAAATGCTAATATAATAAAAAACAGAGCAAAGTTACAAATGAACTAAAAGTCTTTGCTTAAGAAGTGAGGAAAGAAGAGCAGAATAAAAGCAAAGAAGAAAATAGATAAAGTAAGAGCAAAAATTTTTGAAATAGAAAAAAATGAGATAAAGTGTTAGTTCACTAGCAAAAATTATGTAGTAGATAACATCTGGGGAGACGAACCAAGGAAAAGCAAAGACAGAAAATAAGGAAATAAAGCATAAAGAAAAACAGAATTACAGATACACCAGTGATTAAAAAAAGGTAAGAAAATATTAGTGATAAAAAGGTAAGAAACAACTTTGTTCCAATAAATTTAAAAACTTGGATGAAATAAATTTTGAGATAAATGTAACTTACTAAAACTGACTTAAGAAGAAACAGAAAGCGTGAACACCTCTAACAACCACTAAAGAAACTGAAATTGTAATTAAGTCATTCAATTAAAAAAAAATCAGGTTCAGATTGTATTTGAGGATAATTCTACAAAACTCTCAAGACACTGATCATTCCAATTGTATAGAACTCTTACAGAGAACAGGAAAAAGCAGAATAGTCCCTAATTCATTCTATGTGGCCAATATAATCTTGGGATTAATTTCAAATAGAAGAAACGTAAGAATAAAAAATTATAGGTCCATCTCACTCATGAACTCAGAATCAAAAATCTAAACAAAATGTAAACTGAATTGAAATGTATTAAAAAGTTAATATATCAGGGGCTGGCCCCGTGGCCGAGTGGTTAAGTTCCCACGCTCCTGCTGCAGGCTGCCCAGTGTTTCGTTGGTTCGAATCCTGGGCGCAGACATGGCAGTGCTCATCAAGCCACGCTGAGGCAGTGTCCCACATGCCACAACTAGAAGGACCCACAACAAAGAATATACAACTAAGTACCGGGGGGCTTTGGGGAGAAAAAGGAAAAAATTTTTAAAAAATCTAAAAAAAAAAAAATGCTTTAATAAAAAAGAAAAGTTAATACATCTGACTAAGTTGTGTAACCCAGAAATGCAATGACAAAGTATCATTAAAAACGTTAAACATAATAAAAGTGGGAAAAGACCTCAACATTTTCATCTCATTACATGTAGGAAAAGCGTTCAAGCAGCATTTACTGAGGACTTACTCTGCAATAGGAGCATATTTTCCTTTTTATTTTTAAAGTCTAAACATGAAAATATTTTATAACTTTAGAAAATCTAGAAATGGTAAGTACATTTAGTATAGCTATGGAAATAGCAGACATATGACCAAAAGATGGAAAGGAATACACAAAAACAAAAATAGTGCCAAGGTAACAGGATATTCCTTTAATACTATTATCATATTATTTATCCAATAAAAGTGTATTTAAAATATTAAACTTCCAACCTTGTTTTATTTTTAAATTTATCTTAATAGTCAAATCTTAATGATGAATCTTTCTTAGTTCTTATTATACCTTCATGCACAGCTGCTTTTCATGAATACTAATAAAGTGTGGATCATATTTTACAAACATTTATTTATGTGTTTACAAATTTAAAGATAAAATAAGTGAATCTGCCTGTTTATAACTTCTGACATCATTTTCATATTCATATTTAACTTTATCCTTAATTATATTAAGTAGTTAGAAAAGGTGGAATTTTTCCATTTTATAGATGAATAAACTCTGATTTAGAGAGTGAAATAACTTGGTAAAAGTTACAACAGTAGATAATAGCCCAAATTTAAACAATATTCAACAAGTATAATGCCTCTTGTGTGCCAGGCCCTGTGTTAGAGTATAAAGTGGTGATATGGACCTTTTAATTCAATATTAGTTTTCAAATCACCAACCCACCTCCCTAAAAAAATTGTGTGAAGCTAACAAGTTAGAAAAGATCCAGATCCTTGTTGACTTCACCACCTAAGAGCCATACAATGCTGGACAAATCACTATGCTATCAGCTCCTTGATGAATAAACTGTGAAGCTCACAGCACAGTGCCGTCTTACAGTTATATTAAGACGTTCTGCTAAGATGATCTAACTGTAGAACTTTGTAAACTATAAGACACCATACAAATGCAAAGCCTTATTTATTCACTAGAAACCAATCTTTCCCACTAGAATCAGAACCTTAATAAACAGCCAGACAACAGCAGTTAGTTTCGAAATATTCTAAAATACTCAATAAATATACAATCAGCCCAAGAGTAGTTCTAAGAGAGCACCGAGATATTTGTCCTTGAATATTCTAACAGGAAACGACAGACGTGCAGTCATTTCATCTGCTAGCTCATGAGAAGCTCAAATTTTTATTCAATTTCCCATTCCTTCCTCTCATTTTTCCACCTAGACATAGATTCCTAGAGGGATAATAAGATTATTACTAGACTCAATAGCATCTTTCACATCTTTAATTTTGTTTAAAATAAGATAAAGAATACAGATTAAGGTTCTAGTCCTGGCTTCATGTATTCAAGCATTTGGAGCAGCTACCACGTCCAGGCACTGTGCTCGGCTCTGGGGTAAAAAAAATCAAGATACAGCTTCTGCTCTCACCTTGCTGATTTTCTGCATGCCCTTGAGCATTGTACTTAATCTCTTTTAGCCTATATCCTGATTTATAAGATCAGTCTTGGTGTGAAGATTAAATAAGATTATCTATGTTTTGAACATAGCATGGAGCCTAAAATATAGTAAGCAGAAAAACATATTTTAAAATTTTCTTTATCATCTATATCAATTTTTGTCATTTTATCTTAAATAAGAGTATGCAGGGGCTGGCCCAGGGGTGTAGTGGTTAAGTTTGAGTGCTCGCTTCAGCAGCCAAAGGTTTGCAGGTTCAGATCCTCAGCGTGGACCTAGCACTGCCTGTCAAGCCACGCTGTGGTGGCATCCTACATAAAATAGAGGAAGACTGGCACAAATGCAGCTCAGTGACAATCTTCCTCAAGCAAAAAGAGGAAAGACTGGCAACAGATGTTAGCTCAGGGCCAATCTTCCACACAAAATAAATAAATAAATAGAGTGTGCAGTGTAGCTACAGAAATACGGGAATAAGCTTACAAATTGTCATTCTCTAAAACTAAAGTTTAGGGTTATGAGCCAATATTAGGACCTGCTAGGGTAGAACTCTTCAATGGCTTATGTTTCCTGAAAAAAGACTTTATGTAAGTGATAGAAGGAATTGTCTTTCTTCTTGCATTAATGGCAAATGCAACCTAAAGAATGGTCCACATGGCCTAGAGCTAGAAAAAGGAATCAGGCTACAGGAAGTAAGAACTTGCTGGTGTTAACCCAGGATCATCTAGAAAAGTGTACTTACTAGTGGAACAGTAGCTTACTCCAAGTTCTACTACAGAATTAAAAGTTCTACAAGATTATACAACTCCTTTGCTCTGATTCCATTGCTGGAATTAGAAATTAACTTTCTGATTATCAATGTTTTCCAAAGAATCTTGCTACCAACTAACTTGGATATGGACAAAAATATCTTAATGAATGGAAATTATATCCCCCTAACAAAAACGCATCAATTTTCTTAAGTTTTCTTAATAAATTTTTCTTAAGTTTGGTGATCGGGAATCACTCTGCCAGTTGTGGAGCATCTGGGTAAACTCACAAAATTAGATTGCTACACATGCCAAATATTCTAAACTGTCCCCAGAGGGCAGTCACCAAGGGAAAATAAGGGAATATAACTATTTTAGTCTAAACACTTCATTTAACGTATGAGGCAACTGCAACATCAAGGTTGTGACTTCTTAACCTAGTCTACGGCAGAAGAGGCACCGAAATCTGGGTCTCTAATTCAGAAGTTGGTTTTGATTCTTTTACCATCAAATGCAAAGTTAATATCCAAAGGCATGTATTTGTATTTACCATGCTTTAAACAATCTTTTTCCTGTCCTTAAGTCAATACTTTAAAGTACTGTTTGGTCTTTCCATTTCAGAGCAGTAAGTTGCAGAAATGAGGAACAAACTTTCTGAGTAACACAATTTTAATACATGTTGATGTTGGTTAATCGGTTAGGACATTATGTTAACAGGGCCAAAGTCTAGGGTTTAAACTCCAAATAGGCCAGTTAGTTTTTCAAACCAACATTTCTGACAACAGTCGTTGGTTAAAAACTGTTCACTACTCGGGTGGGAAAATCCTAGAAAAGTAAAACATACCGATAGAACAAAGGTGTCTTGTTTGTCACTTTAAAGCTGCTTTTTCTTTGAAAAGTACCTTGTTTGGGGCATTCTTAGAAATGGGTCTTCTAAAAAGCAAACTATTGTTAATTTTATGGCTTTAAGTAGGATATTTCCAATGTCACCTCCTCCATCCGGAAAATCTATGGCACTCTAGTTACTTTAGATATTTATAACTCTGAATTATAAATACACCTATTGTAAATTAGCACCAAAATTATTTTGGACACATAAAAGTAAAGATTTGGTGGGAACACTGGAATTTTAATTTTGTAAACCATCTATTCGAATAATCAATAACAGAACGTGGCGCAAAGACAATTGGGGCCTGGGCTGAGACCTCAAACTTGTCGTTTCCCAAATGCAACGTCATGTACCAGTCCCAAGAGCTAACAACAGGTCTGTCCAGATGCTAAGCCCAGGGACCTCGAAATCTCCATCCTGCGCCTTCCAGGACTCCAGCGCAGTCCGAACTTCATCCTTCAGAGGCGGCGGGGCCTGGCAGAGGCTTTGAAACCGGCCGTACAGCTCCTCCCAGGGCACGGCCTGGGACTCCGCTCCCACCCAGACGCCTCGCTGCAGGTCGTAGTGCAGATGGCGCCCCCAGTCCGCGAGCAGGCCCAGGTAGACCCGGGAGAGCTCGGGGTGGCGGCCTGCCACCGCAGCGACAACGCCGGCGGGGAGGCGGCGGCAAAAGGCAGCCAGGATGTCCGCCTTGCCCAGAAGCCACCGGAGCAGCTCATGGTGCCCCTCTCCGGGCGTGTTGGGGGTGCCTGGCCCCGTCTCCTCCTCTTGGGGCCGCGGGCTGGGCGGCGGCAGCAGCAGCGCGGCCGCCAGCACCTTCAGGAAGTTGTCCTGGGGCCCGCGCTCCCACAGGCCGCTCAGCAGCCCGCCGGGGCCCTCGGCCTGGGCGCCGGCCCGCTCCCGCAGGCGCCCCAGCAGCAGCTCGGCCTGCGTCTTCAGCAGGGCGTCCTCCTGCACGACCGGGCTCTCCTGGTAGCCGTGCAGGCGCAGCACGTGCACCGCCGCCCGGCGGCGGGCCAGGTGGGCCAGCCGGCCTTGCAGCGTCTCCTCGTCGGCGCCCGGCACGCCCGGGCCGGGAAAGACCTGCTGCAACAGGGCGTGCCAGACGGCCTCCCTGAGGGCCCGGTTCTGCAGCAGGCGCAGGGCCAGCACGAGGTCGCAGCGCCCCAGGGCCTGGAAGTTCGTCAGGCCCGGGTCTGGCGCCGGCCCAGACCCGCTGTCCTGCCTCCACTGGCTCTGCAGCCGCCGCTCCAGCGCCGTGCGAATGCGGGCATGGCGGCCGAATCGCCGGTGGACGTGGCGCAGGTAGCGCGCCCACTGCAGGGCCCTGCGCACGGTCGCGGGGTCCCAGGTGCTGACGTGCGGCGTGCGCGAGACGGCCAGCACCTCCGAGAAGCGCGCCAGCTGCTGCAGAAGCGACTCCATGGGGGCGCGCCGGCCTTACTTCCGCCTCCACCTGGGAGACGGCGACTCTCTGCGTGCCGATTGGAGCGTCCGCGAAATGATACGCCTCGCTGCAAGGCTATTGGCCAAAGTTCCTGTCAATCTGGCAGCAGCTTTCATCCGGGTACCTTGACTCCGGGAAATTTAAACTGGGGAAGCGGCTCCAAGGTTCCATTTTCAGCCCCGATATTGGGGAGGCTCTCGGGACAGGAGAAAACAAATGTAGAGCATCCAGGCAGGGTTCCCGGAGCCACGTGCGCGATGCTGCGCTTCACGGAAGTCTCCGTGTTTCCTTTCGTTTTAGAAATAAGCCCTAGTAGAAATTTCCTGAGCTTTGCCCGAGAGAATGTGTGTTGAGGTTTATCAAAATCGGGTAACGCCAGAGACAAGCTGTTACGTTAGCCTATAAGACATGCTGTTACCTATTAGGTGAAGTTTTCAGTTCAGTTTAGTAAAAATGTACTGACCTCCAATTAATGAATGCCAAGCACTGTGTTAAACTCGGGGCCTTCTCATTGTTCTTTCATTATTAGAAGCGAAGCCCCAAAGACATTGAATCAAACAAACAAAAAACTTCGAGATGAATACTTAACGAAAATGTTAAAGGGACTTAAAATTTTATTTCAAAATTGCACAATTTTTTTGTTTTCAAAACAACCTTAGTTGACTCTTATTTCACTCAAATGGCACTTAAGAACATATAACAAAAACCAATGTGTGGCTGGAGATTTCAGGAAGAAAGAGGGGAAAGGAAAAAGGACCCATTTCTGGAAAGTCATCTGGATCATTCACTCTTGTATGCCGTCAACAAATATTTATTTGCTCACTCCTAGGAGTTGCATTGTCCAAAACCCCACGATTTCTAACTTACTGAAGCTGATGACATGGTAACTCATCTAAGCTGAATTTCTTTCCAATCCCAGAGACACTAGTCAAAACTATTCTAACAAATAGGCAGAACTGGTGTTTTGTTTTGCTTTGCTTTAACAAAAAGGGGATGAGAAATTGAAGAGGAGAGTCATTTTTCATTTATTAGAATGAGCATTCCCTCAGCTTTTAAAAAATGAATAAATAAAGCAGTGGTGCTTATGCTGTTAATTCAGTTTTATTATTTGCTATTTATCACTTAGCCCAACTCTTATTTGGTCCTGAAGAGGTTACTTGATTTTACCCTAAGGATACTGTGTACCCTAAAATGCATTGTCTTGGCCACTGGAAACTCTGGGTCACATGAGCACAGCCTTTAACAAATGTACAGCCTTCGCTAACTCATTTATGTATTTATTCTTATTTGAGCACTCATGTCACATAGTGTAAGATTTAGGAATAAATTAAATAAACGTAGTCCTGGTCCTGGTAGAGGAGTTCATTTCCTAACATTTAAGAGAGACATTAAACAAATAACCTCAAATGTGACAGGCTATAATGGAGATAGGCCAGCAAGACTTAGGTGATAGGAAAGGCTTCTTTAAGAAACTGACTTTTGGGGCCGGCCCCGTGGCCGAGTGGTTAAGTTTGCGCGCTCTGCTTAGGTCACCCAGGGTTTCACCAGTTCCTATCCTGGGCATGGATATGGCACTGCTCATCTGGCCATGCTGAGGCGGCGTCCCACATGTCACAACTAGAAGGACCCACAACTAGAATATGCAACTATGTACTGGGGGACTTTGGGGAGAAGAAAAAGGGGGAAAAAAAAAGAAGATTGGCAACAGATGTTAGCTCAGTTGCCAATCTTTAAAAAAAAAAATCTCTTAACGGGAGTCTAGAAATAAAACATTAGAAAAAAAGAAAAGAAACTGACTTTTAGTCTGAAAGCTCAAAGATGAGTGTTGAGAAAAGTTTTCAAGGTCAAGGGAACAGTTAATTTGCAGGTGCCTGAGTTAAGAAAGCCCAATCCATTCAAGGAGGTGAGAGAAGTCAATAAGGTGGCCTTCAGTTCAGGACGGGGTGAGACCTGATGGAAGAATTGTGCGGATTAATTTCTCCAGCTTCATGTCTTTCCACTTAACTATTTAAAATTTTCTTGTAAAATCCTTACTTGAGCATTACAATGTAAAAATTTATACATATTTCACATTAGCCTATTTTCATTAAAGAAACACATTATCTATGAATTTTTCCCCTTTACAAGAAAGAAAATCCAAGACTTTAGATCTTGTCCTGTGTCCATAAATTCAACATCATTTAATGAATATTTATTAAGCTTCTACTATATGTAAAGATTAGGGACTGAAAGATGATTATGACAAGGTCCTTCACTTCAAGAAACCTACGTTCTTGAAGCAGGGATAGGGTGGGGCACAAAAACACTTAAATATACTGCAAATCAGATTGTATGTGTTTTTTTGTGGGGGTTTTTTGCTAAGGAAGATTTGCCCTGAGCTAATATCTGTTGCCAGTCTTCCTCTTTTTGTATGTGAGACACGACCACCGCACCATGACCACTGACAGAGAAGTGGTGTAGGTCTGTGCCTGGGAACCGAACCCAGGCTGCTGAAGCAGGGTGCACTGAACTTAACCACTAGGCCACCAGGGCTGGCCCAGATTTTATATATTTTAAAACTTGTAAGAAAGATTTTCTGGAAGACTAGCTGTAAACCAACCAGAGAGTTCTAGGAAGGCTTTATAAAGGACTGGTACTTCATTTAGGCCTCAAACTTTTGAGCAATCGATGGAATAAAGGACAATTCAGGTGGGAGAAATAATATGAGGTAAAACATATAAGGACATGAACGTGTATAGTATATACTACAAACACCAGGACCAATCTCCCGCTTCTTGGTTAGCATCCCTAAATTCCAGGGATATGGCAAATTAGCAGAGAGAATGGAAGGCTGAAGGTCAGGAGATTTTGTTAAAATATGTCATTCAAACCATAGGAGTCAAGCAACATAAACAACTAAGGATTAGAAAAAGAGGCTTTCCAGACAGAGAAAGACAAACACTGTATCATTTCACTCATATGTGGAGGATAAACAAACACATGGACAAAGATTAGTGGTCCATGATTAGAACAGATTGGTGGTTACCAGAGGGGAAGGAGGGAAGGGAGTAGGCATGAGGGATGAAGGGGCACATATGTATCATGACTGACAAGTAATGATGTACAGCTGAAATTTCACAATGTTATACACTATTATGACCTCAATGAGAAAAAAAAGAGGCTTTCACAAAGAACCTACCTCATAGAGTCCTGGTGAAGATTAAATGAAATAATAATTGTAAAATGCCATACTTGATATTATGACAGTCTTTTAATATCCATTCTATCATCAACCCCACCCTCTTTGCCTAATAACAATGCCACCCCTCTCTTAATTCAGTAACTAATTTAGGAACACATTCTTAAGCTTATCAATGTACAGCATTTCCTAATGACAGAAATTCGTTCAGAAATGGCCAGGTGAGTCCCTTCCAATCAATTAGGCCTAGATGATTCAGAGAATACTTTTACTGTTCAGAATCAGTGGTGCATGAACACTCGCGAATATGAAGAGATGGTCGTAATAGACTGTGTGTATATACAAGCTGAATATCAGGCAAGCTTCTTTAGCTCTTAGCTGGTTTCTCTCTTCCTCTTTATATTGTGATATGCTTCTATGAAGACCAAGGCTACCACAGCCATCTCCTTCCCGGAGCCAGGAGAATTTCAGAATCACAAAGAATACTTTGGATGAAGATAAGGCTCAAGGTAACCTCGTGTAGGATTATAACCCTACGTATTACCAATTGTTTCTTGTGGGTTTTGGGGTTTTTTGTCTAGTTTCAGTGTTATTTGTTGTTGCTTTCAGCTTAAAGCACCCAAACAATACAAAACCTTTAGAACACTGTGTGGCACATATAAACAATAAACATTGGCTATTGTCGTTGTTGTCAATAATATATAAGCCTGCAAAGCATACATCTTCCCAGGTCTTCTCCAAATTCCTCTCCTCCCAGATATAAAAGGGCAACCACCAGCATCCTTATGGGCAGTAGTGGAGAAAATGTTGTCAAAGAAAGATGCAGCTTCTTGCTGCGCTGTTCACTCCTGGTCCCAAGAGGCTTCTCAGACAGTCTTGTTCAGTGGAGTAAGACTAGAAAAACTGAACTGATTCCATTCTCTAGGTGAGGCCTACATTTTTGGTTATTTTAAGACATGCAATGAACCAGAAATTATAGGACACTATGCAACTGAGAGAGCAATGAAAACAAAGTATTCTGATGTCCCTTTATTCTTCTCTGAACAACATTATATTCACATATTACCACATTAATTTCAGCCCTCTGGGTGTTGAAATAATATTTTTCTACGTGAACAAGCAGACCCGGCTTCCACAGCTTCAAGCGGGGCAGACATGAAGGATTCTCCTTCATCCAGGAATCTGGCTCTCGGAAGGAAAATATTTGGACCTTTTTACAATCACTCTGAGGGTCAATATTATGGGCAGTGATTCCAACTGATCCTGACTCCATTACCTCATCCAAGACAGGGGTAGCAACAATAGAAAGCAAGCTGGCACAACTTTTGAAGAGAGATTTCTCATGAAAACTTTGCGGACATATTTGCCATTTTTTTGGGCAATAATGCGATCTATCTTTCTGAGAAAGGGGAATATAGATCTTGATGGGATTTGCTTCAGTAAAATCGAAGTTTCTTCATTTCACTGGTTTCTGTTACAAAAGGGGAACATTCATTAAATGAATTATAATGGATAGAGGACTTTAGGCAAGTATAGGGGAATTAGGCAAGTAATTAGGTTTCCGGAGCAAATGGCCCTGTCTTACCTACTATAATCCCTGATTAGACCATAGAACCCCATACCAAATCTCAAAAATATTAAATCTGGGAGCTGGTCCGGTGGCATAGTGGTTGGGTTCATTGCTCTCCACTTTGGTGGCTCGGGTTCACAGGTTCGGATCTTGGGCACAGATTTATACCACTTGTCAAGCCATGCTGTGGTGACAACCCACATAGAAAATAGAAGAAAGATTGGTACAGATGTTAGCTCAGGGCCAATCTCCCTCACAAAAAAATAAAAAGTAAA